GGGCCTTCCCCAACTTGGTCTCAAAACGAGCTTTGGGCAACCACCAAACCACCAATCCAAGCCGCTAAATAAGGATTACCTGATTTAAAGCTTCGTAGAAAACAACAGAAACATCATGAAACAGCAATCGTCCCTATCTTACGAGCATAGCAGGGATAATCTAAATTGTGAACATGCTAAAGAAGCTCTTGACACCCAAACCAACAGTGCATATGAAAACACCTCAACATAATAGTGGAACCACTCCGCCCACCTCAAGCTCTTGTGAAATCGACCAGATGCTTGTGGGCCCTACTTGCCTATTGACCCCACTGCCCCCCCCCCCCCCGGCCCCGTTTAAGAAAAACCTGGCAACATTTCCAAAAAGGGATAGATCTTGAACGCTTCTGGGGGTGGTGTCTCTCCTCCTTCTCGTGGATGGAAACAAGTTGTTCCAAACAGTCAAAAATGCTTCCGGTCCAACCAAAGACCAAGGCAAAACCTGACCCAGTTACTCAATGTGGAAAACAAATTGGACACCTGTTTGGGGTTGACCATTCTTTCAGCGGGGAACTCACCAATCCCTGCCAAAGAAGGTACCCGACGACAAGAATAGAAAGGCTTCCCCATACGCTTGGGTTGGTGGCATCTCCCACACACCTGTACAAGGGAGATATCTAACAAACATGCAAGCTCTTGGGAATCAAACTCTAGAGGTTGGACTGGGTAAACGACCGCATGAAGATTTCCAGTCAGTCTGTGCCCAACTACACTCCCTTCAAAACTGTCTCAAGCGGGAGCTTCACCCCAAAGACCCCTCCCCAACCACCAAGATCTTTGGGCTCATATGGCTGTGGGTCAAAAATATGTACCCAAAATGGAAACATGGACCAAAACCAGCGGTCCCCTGGTGGTTTAATTTTGACCCGTACCTATATTTCGCTTTGAGGCTGATTAACCCTTTGATCCTGCCGGTGCAGTTTGGGGCCTGCAAAGTGCGGAAGGCGGTCGTAACCCCGCCTGTGCCTGTGCCGCCTGCGCCTGCGCCTGCGCCTGGCAGCATCTCGTCAGGGTCCAAACCCAGTTCAGGGTGGCGGGATTGCTCTCTGTGATTCAATGGAATGCCGTCCATGATTTTATCGCCAAAGAGGCTCCACGGTATTTAGTGAGAAGCAACCCCTCATTTGCACAACCTTGACCCAGGGATCTTTGCAAGGTTTGGGCAGCCCAGTCCTGCCACGCCGCGTCGGACGCCGCTTGCTCCTGCCAGGCAACTCATATACAACAACTATACGACGGGTTGACCAAACTCAAAGTGTTCCACGCAACATGCCCGGAAACAAGCGATAATGCGTTTCAAGATGCTGCACGCTCAATAAGGTCAACTTCGGATTAATCTGGAGGGCCGTACTAATCAGGGGTTGATTCCCCATTTAGTAAGATTCGTTCTATCTTGGGCGGTTCCTTTGACTAAGACTAGCGGGGTCTTCTGGATTAGTCTGAAGTTAATATTTGCGTACGCAGCCGGGAGAAATGTGTCCACAGTCCGATTGTCAAATGGAAAGGATGCACTACGAGTGGCTCTTTAACAGTGATCGTCGTTTGCTGGAAATATCAATCTTCCGAAGGTTCAACGTATGAGAGAACAAAGGCAGAAGACAATGACACTTGTCCGTCACCTGAAAAGCCACAGGAAAGCTTATCGTCAGTATGTGTTGACTCACTCGGGTTCATTGTCAAGCAAATGCTTCTCACTGGCAAACATGCTCCCAGTGCTTCCACAGCTAAAACTATAGTCGGTAACCGGCAACTCTTCTTTTTACCAGATGGTTTCCAACCTGGTTCCTCTATGTTGCCTCTACCTACCTGCTACAGTGACAGTGGCACCTGAAAGCAAGCACTGGGACTGAGAAACAAAAAATCGGGCGCGTCTTCCGCGTCTTCCGCGTCCGCCTGCCATGCTGCCTCATCGACTGCAGTCGCAGATGTCTGTCCCTGACATCAAGCGAGATAAGGATGCTTAAAAGTAGGGAAGCAGCCAAAGGCGCCACACAAGCCAGGCAGGGTTCTTAGAATTCTTGGAAGTTCTTGGAAGTGTTCTTGGAAGGGTTGGAAGAAAGGTTCTAAGAACTTAGCCCCAAAAGGATGTTTCCAAGGTCTGGGGTTGATCCTCAGCTTAAGAACCGCGTCTCGAGCTAACCATGGGAGTATCAAAACCAAAGCAAACAAGGCTGGTGTGATTGCTGACCCAACCAAGGTGCCCCATCCAATGAGTGTCGCTAGTCCCTGGTTGAACATGATGTTGCTCAAAGAACGGGAGGGGGATCAGGTCATCTTAATCCGCATTCCGCAGCGGGGCACCACAACCAGGCAAACTCCTCCCATGTTGCCATGAGGATCATTTGGATTCATTGTGACTTCAGCCAAAACCCCAAGGAGGTCCCCAAGGTGGAACCAGATCTCAGGACTCAACCAAGTACCCCTGGGTAGGCGCCCCTCATTTTTTCAGCAACCCAAATAT